TAAAACACCTAATAATCCAATATGAAAGACACAAAATAAGCCTAGCAGTATCATTTATCTGGGTATCCCAGCATTCCCTGGGGACACATTTGGCTGCTTTCCTAAATTTAGCAGTCAATCTCTCAAACTTCGAAACTAAGTCACCATTCATCTTATCACAAATCCAGACTCTAAACTCCATATAGCTCTAGGAAAGTGCAAACATTAAGAATGAGGGTGGTGGTGGCGCACGCCTTAAATCCCAGCACTCGGGAGGCAGAGGCAGGAGGATCTCTGTGAGTTCAAGGCCAGCCTGGACGACAGAGCTAGTTCCGGGACAGAGAAACCCTGTCTCGAAAAACCAAAAAAAAAAAAAAAAAAAAAAAGAATGAGGTGTCACCAAGGCCTGGTGATGCCATCTGCAATCACAGAACTCCGGACACCAAGGTAAGGAGGAACAAGAGCCGTAAACAAAACACCAAGGGCTGAAAACCAGCTTTCTGAGTTCCGATCCTGGGAAAAAGATAACAGGAATGAGGATAAACTGGGAGAACTGGATTGTGGTTTGTTTACTTAATTTTCATATATATATATATATGCCATGCAGCCCAGGTGAACCTTGAACTTATTCTCCAGCCACAGCCTCCCCAAGTGATAGAATTATAGGCACGTACCAACAGCCAAAAAGGCTGGAATTTAAATAGGGTAGTCATTATTTTAAAAGATAAGGAGATAAAGGAAAAGGAAGAGAGAAACAGAGAGATATACACACACCCAAAAAAGAGAGAGGGGGGCGAGGAAGGGAGGGGGAGAGAGCAAAAAGAGCTACAAAAAGAACATAAAGATTTGAGATGAGAGGTGATAAACGGACTGGAGTCTGGCACGCCGGGAACAGCATGAGGGAGGTACCGGGTGATGAGAAGAAACTGCCACACGCCGAGCCGTGGAAGGGTTCCAGGAGGGTCTCTGAGCCGGGACTGACAGGCAGAGCCTACCCAAATGTCTCAACTGCTGTCTGCCTAACGTATGGATCCGTTTAACCTTTTCTTCACCTGGTCTTAATTCTGTCATTTCACTTAGCTAGATTCAGCACTACAGACCAACTCTGACCTACAATACCAGCAGTTCCTCTCCACAGACCTCCAGCTGGTTCTTTTACTCGTTCCTATAGACTTCTTTACATTTCCCAGCTCTCGTTTCTCAGACCTCTTTGAAATAAATGCCTTTCCTCGTCAATCCTCTGCAGTCAACCTACACGGGGGGGGGGGGGGGGGGGGGTGAGTCCTAGTTGCTTTGTTTTGTTGTTTTTTGTTAACTTTACACAAGTTAGTTATCTGGGAAGAGGAACCCCAACTGGCAAAATGTCTATCAGACTGACCTGTAGGTAAGTCTGTGGGCATTTTCTTGAACGTAAATTGATAGAAGAGGTCCTAGCGCATTGTGGGCAGTGTTACCACTAAACCAGTGTTCATGAGTGAAATAGGAAGGCAAGACGATAGAGCTGGATGGTTTAGCCTTTAAGAGCACTTGTTCTGCCCTGCAGTAATGGCACGCGCTTTTAATCCCAGCACTTGGGAGGCAGAGGCAGGTGGATCTCTTGAGGCCAGCCTGGTCTACAGAGTGAGTTCCAGGACAGCCAGGGATACACAGAGAAATCCTTTTGGGGGTTGTGGGGTGGAGAACTTGTTCTTGCAGAGGACAGAGATTCGATTCCCAGCACCCATAGGGTGGCGTCATAAATGTCCATAAAAACTTCAGTACCACAGGATCCAAAGCCCCTTCTGACCTCCATGCATGCCTATGGTACAAAAACATACGCATAAACAAATTTCAAAACAAAATGGAAAAAAAAAGGAAAGCAATATAAGCAAGCAAGTAAGCAGCATTTCTCCATGGTCACTGTTTCAGTTTCTGCACTGGCTTCAATAAACAATGAACTATCATCTGTAAGCCAAACAAACCCTTTCTTCTCCAAATTGCTTTTTGTTCATGGTGTTTTATTACAGTAATAGAAACCTAAACAAATATACATACTGTGTGGCTTTTAATGTGTGATTTAAGAATAAGTTCTTTAATATTTTTAAAAACTTTTTGTCAGCCACGATTACCAAGGAAAACAGGAATACTTCACAGTTGCTTTCACTGAAACTGTTATATCTTGTGAATTTACTGTTATTAAATAAACTCTGACATTGTAAAGACATAAATATGTTTGTCTATGATTCTGATATGGCACAATCATGGCAACTGTGAAAATCATCTTACTAGGTGTGTATGAAATGCACTGTCTTAAATATAGAAAGGTTAAATTTTACAACTAATTATTTTATTTTTTGATGTTTTATTTTTATTTTGCCTGCATGTATGTCTATGTACCTTGTGCACACAGTGAATGCAGAGGCCAGACAAGGGCATCAGATATCCTGGAACTGGAGTTAGTCAGTTGTGAACTAGAAATGCAGGTGCTAGAAATGGTCCTCTAAATATAAGAGCAGACAGAGCTCTTATTTTATTATTTTTATTATTTATTATTTTAATAAAGATGAATCTAGATGTTAAAAATTGCATAGTTATAGTAGTGTCTCTGAGCCTACTCCTAACATTATTCCCCGATTGCCTTCCATTTGCATGTCAGAGCTGGGAAAGAATGATTCATCAGACATAGCTGTATATGTTCTCTCATCAGCCCAATGGTGAGCTCCAAGTCACATTCTCTAGGACACAAAAAAAAGTGTCGCTCAGATTCTTTGACAGGTTGGAAACTGACATGGGCATGATGGATTTTCATAAAGACAGAGTGAGGAGCTGTCATGAACCTGAAGTTCTACCATCTCACTTCCAACTTTAGTTATGAAGAACTGACCTAAAATACGGCTGGATGGTAGAGAGTTACATACAGTGATAGCCTGGGCAGCATCAGGTGAAATCTACCATGTAGACACTGGAGGCCAGTGCTCAGCACCTGCACAAGTATCCTCCTTGTACCCAAGTACTTACAGATGAGGGGGCTAAAGAGTGGAGCTTCCAGAGAAGGTCTCTGCTGGTAACTGTTTCTTTGAGGGATTCTTGATGGGATGATGAATTTGTGGGTTCTGATCAAGTCTGCATGTGGAAAATATAGGCAATGATGTGATTTCATAGTGGGAGACCTGGCTTGCTCCCTGGAAGAGTCAAATACTAGATCTGTTCATTAACTTGACAGTAAGGACAGGGTCCAGAACAAAGCTCTAATGCCTGCTGGACTTCTCCCACTAGTGATATCATTTCCTGTTCTTTATGCTACTAGGAACTGAGAAGCAGCTCAGTCAGGTGGGAGACCCATCATTATCTCATGCAAGGATTCTTGGCCGACAGTAGAAGTGTGAAAACAGGGTTAAGAAGAAATCTCTTTGGATGAGTGGACAGATATCAGCCTGCTGAGATACTTTAAGAGAATCACCACATAAATAATAATATTTCCTCTGAATCAAGCAAAAATAACAAGTATCTATATAAAAAGTATCCATATTAATCATTAAATTTTTTAAATATTATGGAGTGGTCAGAGTGTCAACTTGATTTTTCCATCAGTCTGGATATTTTAAAGGTTCTTAATATTGTTTTTTGTTAATTAAATGAAAACAGGCTCTTTTACAGACTCTTAGAATTATGTACTGTTTTGAAGGTAATCTGATGGATGATGGATTTTGATGGCCAATTTGAATCTAGCTTTGGGATGGCATCTGATAAACTCACTTCTACATGTGCTGGATATGCCAACACTAGGGTGTTTGCAGGTGTGGAATAATTACACAATGTAAAAAAAAAGGAACTGACATTTGGAACGTGTACAAACTGCAAGCCCACTGAACAGAATGGGATTTTAGCAAGATGTAAATGTAACCAATTCCATACTCAACACAGAAGCAATGCTGAGAATAAAATGTCTTAACTACTTTTTTATTGATTCACTTGAGTTCCCCATGTGTTTCATCTCATTGAAAAAAAAAAAACAGTGTTTCTAAAGTTCTTAGATTTTCGACTTTAAGTTGCACATTGGCAAATCTATTTTTATGTATACCTTTGATTCTTACATTAAAACAGAAGTCACATGTTTAAAAATAACCACTCCTTAAAACAAAAGCAGTTATCAATGTTGTTTACAATACAAATCCTGAAGACATTTGATTACATTAAGATTTAGTAGTCTAAAAAAGAATGCGGTACATTATACTAAATTCTGGCAACAAAGTGTGTTTACTCACAAGAAAATTCCAATTCTTCCCTGGTTTTATAAAGACCAATCTATTTCTCACATGTTATAACTCTATTCAATTGAATTATGATTTAAAATGCAGAGTGATAACAACTACAAAATATAAATACAAAATGCTAAGAAAAGTTTATCATGTAAAGGAAAATGTCTCATGCATTATAATTTTTTTAATCCAGCATAAAGGCAAATGTGGTTTTTCAAAATGCAGCCCACATTCAATCACAGGAAAAAATTCAGTCAAGCCACCTAATATACAGACTTTACAGATTTATTTAAATTTATGTTCAAAATTCCAGTAACAAAAGTCTACCTAACAATTAGAGTTAACATCAACTAAGATCTGCAAACCACAAACATTTGCAAGCCAAGTTAGAGCATGCAATTCTCTCTGAAAGAAAAGAAGTCTGATGTGGAGTTAAAAGGCAGGTAAAAACAACTATGAACTTTCTTTAAATAGCTTATATTTAAAGTAATGTAAGTGTACATTATATTTATAATATAGGGCAATATATGTTTTACCAACTATACATGCAGACTATACTGTGTGGTAAAATGATTCAACTTAAAAAAGAAAAAGAAAAAAGATCCAAAATATCCATTTAAGCTGGAGAAATCACAAATCAAACCTCTCCCTGCAAGTCATGTGAGGCTAACCTGAAAATAAATCATAAAATCTCAGTACTTAAATCCTAAATTAACACTCTAATTTGGGTTTATTGTTAACAATTTACACTATTCTTTTCTTTGGGTTAAAAAAGATTTTTTTTAAGAGCCAGCTTTTGGAATCAGCAATGTAACTTCAAGTCCTGCCCTCTGACAGCCAGAAAGGTTGCTTTTTAAAAAAAAATATTGATAGTTCTCAACACCAACACCCTGGAGATAATAAATTTCACAACTCACTGGGTTAAACTGCTCTAATGCAATGGAGCTAGTAAAATACATATATCTGTTCTTAAGAAAATTTACAAAACTAACAATTTTTTTCCAGAATTATAAAAGATAAAAATCTATGAATTGATACTCTAGTATGATCACAGAAAGATAGCAAACTAAAGTCAAGAAGTATGCAGGGAGGGGGCTGTCTGTAACACCCTGCAGTCTCTCTACTTGCTCTGAAAATTCCCATTTAAATACCTTAGAAACCTGTTCTGGTCTTTGCAATTCAGTGACTAGTTTATCACTCACACATTTTTTTTAAGTAAGAAAAACTTGTTTTCTTTTTAGACTATCCTGTAAGAGATTACTTGATGGTGGTTCCTATCAAGTAACAGAGGGCATGAGGGAGAGAGGGTCAACTACTTAGAAGCCTTTGGAAATTTCAGAAAGACGTCTGGCAGTTTTATATTTTATTCCTCTTCCTCCTGCATCTCATTTTCTTTTCCTTTTAAAAATTTCAAGTTGATATTTCACATAAGATTTGATTAAAATAAGAGAGGCTTTCCAACATTTCCCAACCTAGAAAACAACAAAAGTCAGATGAACTCAGTGCCAGCAATAGAATCACGACATAAATTCAAGCTGAATAGTGGTATGTCACACCCAAAGATGCCCTCACACCTTTCCAAACATGCCCCTTGCTTCACACAGGATCCAATACAATTCAGTTCCAGCCTCAATGTATAAGTTTGCCTGCATGAGGAGCAGATATCATGCAGGTCCCAGTGAGTTCAAATTACAGCAAAACCAACAAGATGCACACCCCACCCCACCCCCGCCACTGAGGAAAATAATTCAATGAAGTTTCTTGTTGGATTGTGCTTAAATAAATCACACCATTGCATGAAAGTTTTAGAGGATAGTCAGGAACCAATGAAGGGAAAAGACACGTGTACCTGGCCAGCGGTTTGTTCTGGGTATCCTGGTCCCACTCTCCCACAAGCTCACTTTTCCCTGTAATACAGCAGGTAGTACTTCAGGGGGTCGGGCAATGGGAGGCGCAATACCCTCTGGCGAAGGAAGTTTACTGGTGGCTCAGTCTTGGCCTCCCGTAAGGTCCTCTCTGCCACTTCCCGCCGATCCTCCTCTGCATCCTCACAGCTGGTGTCATCAGAGGGGTTGGAAATTCGACTGGCAAAGACTTCTTTGTCCAAAAAGACAATGGTCTCCATTCGCCCACGACGAAGTCGCCTTCTTTTAAACATAGGTGTGCTCTTCAGTCCACCTCCTCTGGTGGCTTCCTGGCGCATAGCCCTCTTGATGCTGCCACAGATAGCAAGTCTGGCCAGGTCCTGCAGGCTGCGCACAGCCAGTGGTGCTGTGGACAGGGGTAGAGCCTATGGGCATGGGCAAGGTCAACCCCACACCTAACTTGCTGGAAGAACTTCAAAGAAGGGGAACATTCTAACAAAATAGGAACTAGTGGTCTACTCTGCATGTGTGTTTCTTAGACATATCCACATATACTAATTCTAACAAAATAGGAACTAGTGGTCTACTCTGCACCATGCGTGTTTCTCAAGGACATATCCACATATACTAATTCTTAACTCTGAAAAGGAAAGAAATACTGTCTAGCCATACATCAGTCAACAGCAGAATTTGGAACCTTAGGGTTTGTTCTTGCAGACTAGTTTATAACTCAATTTACTCTGCTCAATGACATGATAACATCTACTCAACAATACAGTAATCTATATTTCGAACATCCTTTTATCTATTTTAATAGTTTCATAGTAATTTATATATTATTTTTCTGCTAAAGTAGACAAATGAAAATCTAAAACCATTTTAAGGAAAAACAAAATTTCCAAATCACACCAAAGGGAAAAAAAATGGAAACCAAACACAACTTTAAGCTAACAATAAACACATAGCAGTAATAAGGGTTTTTTTCTCAAAGTAAAAGGAATTAGAGACCAAGGGTTTAAATACATTAAACAGAAAATCTAAAACCCTTTTTTCCTCCAGTGCACATAACCTTCTCCAAACAAGATGCCACCCTATAGAGAGGACTCTCGTGTTATCTGCAGCATTTGCTATCTAAATCATAAACCCTGCCTAAAGACCACCAGTATCCTCTGCCCTGCAGAAATGCAAGTCTGCAGACCAGGTTCTAACAGCAAACAATACCTCCTCCCTCTTTCAGAGGTACCAACCTTTCTCTCTTTTCCTCTGTCCCTGAGAACATGGGGCTGTGCTCTCTCTTTGGGATGGTTCTGCAGTATCTTTCCCGCATCCCCCAATGTAGTTCAACAAATGACCTGTGGTATATCCTGCTCTCACTAACTCAATTCAAGAAAGACTAGTTCTAGAACCTCTGCAATTCAGCTGTTTCCCTGAGATGCTAAAAACAGTCCCTCACTGGCTACTGGGCTCCCAAGCACCAACTCTGGCCTACTGAGCTTTCTCTAAGGACTACCAGGAATAGCTGGTTCAGTTCATATCCCTTCTCTATGATTTCTCTTCCTTGGGCCTTATGATACCCCCAAAGGCTCCAGTATCCACTCCACTTCTCTCTCAGTATGATCCTTGGTTTTATATCTATTCTATGACTTTAAGTAATACAGACCATTTCCCTAAGCTGAAATTTCGTCCCAGTCAAGACAATCCTACCCCACACTTAGCATAGACAATAATATCAATACCTTGGGCTCTCCTGTTGCTCCTCAGAAAGGTCATGTATCCCTAAACCCTTCCTGCTGAGGCTAGTGTAGTCTCAATCTTTGTCTCTTGCCTGATGGGGAAAACCCCAACTTCCTGCCTGATGTCTGCCTCCAACCTGAATACAGGCCACTTAGGAGGATGCTCCAGGCAGTGCATGTCCAAGTTGTTCAGCATCATTGTGGGCTGGCTTTGCTATACGGTTTCTCTTACTTCCTTGGTCTCATAAAAATCAGTGATCTAGGAAAATCTGGGAAGACAGAAACTGCAAATACCCTACCCAGCTTTGGTTAATGCTAACCAAATCACATGAATGTTTATCACTAAACATTCACAGTGAGCATTTGAGAAGGCAACACATATCCAGGCTTGACAAGTCCTCATACAGAAACACTCATTTCTAACCAGATCTTCAAAGTCTTCCAAATGCTCTCATGAGTCCTTGTCTTCCACCAAATCCAGCCACTATGCCAGAAGATCATAGGCCACATTTGTTGAAAGAATAAAATTTCAGAGCACCAGTCTGACAAATTCACCCTCCAAATGATGGCATTGCAGCATCTTCAATAACATCTGAGGCTCTCCACAGCCATACAATGAACTAAAACCCAAACTACACATAAGTCAAGTTTTTCCAACACATCCCACGACAACACCACAGAGTGTATGTCTCTATTGCCTTGGTTTTCCTGGTTCTCTTTTTACTCCTCCTCTCTTAAGGGAATTCCTTCTCACCCTCAAAATCAAGCACAACATAACAACATCTTGTACATGCCTTCCCTAGTCTTTATAAACTCCTTGGTATGTTTCACTGTTAATTGTAAACTGAATTTCATATGACACACAAAGTAGGACAATTTGTTAAATGACTATTACAAATTGAAATGTTTTGTAAAAAATTCACCAAAATGTATTTGTTTTCAATCTATAATAATTCACATTTCTATTATATTTTTCTCCCTCTCTTTCTTGCATACACACACACACACACACACATTTTCTAAATGTTTTAAGTGATCAGAAAGCATGATGAATAGTCTTCACTTGGAAATCCTAGATCTTCAAAACTTTGAAATCCTATTTCTGTGAGAACTGTTTAAAATATAAAACATCAGGATGAATATCACCCTATTTAAGCTCCATGCTGAGTCTACATCTTAGAAATAAAAACACAAAGGTTTAGAGCATATGAGGCTACCCCAAATTTCCTAGTCGCACAGTAGAACAGGCTCCTCATCCATATTGCTTACAGCAGCATGAGACAGGTACTGTGAGAAAGAGAAAACTGTGTGCAGGTGCCACTACACATTCCCAGCAGGCAAAGCAAACTGCCTGAGCTTCCCACATGGCAAAATTAGCTCTTCTGTGAATCTGCTACTTTCAAATGCATGATCAGTAACAACATTGTATAGATTTAAAAGAAGACTAAAATCATCTAAGATGGGTTAAATAGAGAGACTTTTTAAATGCCTAAAGTATCTTGTATAATTTGTGGGCTGAAATAAGGGAGGTTAACACTCTTTAATATCAAAGGGATTTTTTTTGTACTTTTTTTCTATTCTGATTTTAACCAGACATAAAAGACAGGTAGATGCTTATACTCACGTAGCTGAACAAGTCTGGGTTGTCCTGACTCCGAACGGCAGGGTTGGACCAGAGGGGCGAAGGAAACAGCCAGAATCTTTTTTGTTTCCCAAGCAGAGGGGCCTGTGCGTGTTATCTTGGTCAACTATCTCAAAGACAAAACAAGAATATCCAAAGGATTTGGCTACTAGACAACTTACATTTAAGTATAATCGTTTCAATATATGAAATCTAAATATGAAATAGCCTGTCTATATAACACCTAATGTGATGTGAATTACAACTAACAGCAATATATTATTATGCAATGCTTAGCATGAACATACTCAAACTCCTTAACCTACCTTCTGTTTACAAGAAATACAAATGATAAGCAAGTTAAAGGGCTAGAAGAGAATGAGATAAGGAAGAAAAATTCTTACCAAACAATTTTCTAGGGTTCTTCAAAAGAGTGATTGGGGATAAGTTGGGAAGGGTCTGTCCTCAGTAAAAATAATCAAAGATGCACAATAGCCACAATATTTCAACCATAAAAAACCCTGAATTCTGTGCTGATATGGGATGTCCTTATGTGTATGTGTTGCTTTTACTGGATAATGAATAAAGCTGTTTTGACCAATGGCTTAGCAGAGTAAAGCCAGGCAGGATATCCAAACAGAGATATAGAAAGACAGTAGGCAGAGTCAAGGAGACACCATATAGGAGACAGACGCAAGAACCTTTCGGGTAGGCTACAGCCTCGTGGTAATATATAGATGAATAGGAATGGGTTAATTTAAGATGTAAGAGCTAGCTAGGAATACACCTAAGCTACTGGCCAAAGAGTGTAATAATTAATATAGTTTCTGTGTGATTATAAATGTACAAACTCTGCTTTCAGTGTGCTGCTTTCAGGAATATAGCTACAATGGCATCTGAGGCACAAAACATCTAAGGTGCAAGCCATCTGCACCTGTAACAGGAAGGGAGCAGGAGAGGCCAGACACTACCACCATGTTGATGTGACTTTATTCAACATAAATGTGTCATTTTGGATATCTAAGCAATTGTCCTTACTCTCACTAACTGCACTTCAGAGGTGCAGTGGGATATGTTATCGGATACACAGCAATGTAGATCATTAAAACACTTTATATTATACAATTAGTACCTAAGAATCCAATTTAACAACAAAGTCGCATTTGTTTAACATGACTAGGACAGTCTGTAAGTAGCCAAGTAAGTCATAGAACTTATAAGTTTATATGCTTATCTTTTCTAAAAACATCTAACTCAGAAAATCATCCACAATTAAGACTCTTTAAAAGGATTAAGCAGCACAATATATAGAAAAAATATCTAAAGATTAATCATATTCAGGGATAACAGCAGAAACATTCTTTCAGAAAATTTTGAAGATTAAAAAAACGTGTATGTGTGTGTGCAAAGGTCTGTGCATGAGTGCCAGTGCTCTCAGAGTCCAGTACAGAACATCAGAATCCCTAAAACTGGAGTTACAGATCTTCATGAGCTCAGTTCCTTTGTAAGAACAGTATGTTCTGGGAGGGGGGAGGAGTGGGAGGCTGGAAGGAGGCGGAAAAAAAAAGAGAATAAAAAACCAATATATATTGTATATATGTTTTTCTTACAATATATTGTAAATATATACATATTATTTACAATAAAAAATCAAATAAAAAAAGAACAGTATGTTCTTAACCGTTGGGCCATCTCTTCATCACCTAGAATCTTTTTTTGTTTTGTTTGTTTGTTTAAGAAGAGGGTTTTTGTTTTTGTTTTTGTTTTTTTGTATTGCCCCGGCTATCCTGGAACTCGCTCTGTAGACCAGGCTGGCCTCCAACTCAGAGTTCCACCTGATAAAAGGCATGCACCACCACCATCCAACTACCCAGAAACTTTCTTTTTAAAGGATAGTTTCTAGCTAGAATGAACATCAAACATTTAAGCATAGTACATAAATGACATGTAAGACCTTAAATAAAACTATAAGCCTGTATTTCATAATCTAGATGAACAGATGGAGATAGTATGAGGATGCCCATCCTTTTCAAATTAACTAGAGCTAAAATGATCTCAATCAAAATTAGTAATACTAAAAGACAAACAAAGCCTTATTAGTCACCTCCCTTTGATAAAAAAAAAGGGCAAATTACTTAGAAAATTAATAAGCAAACATTAAGAACCAAAATTTATCCTATATGTCTTACATAATGTATACTTCAGGGGGACCAAATCAGTAATAAGCAGTTTTCTCTTTATCAAAGTTAACCAGCACCTAAATACAGAAAAAAATGAAGGAATTTAAATGTATTATTCTATAGTTCTCAATGAAACAATGGATCAGGCTACTATCATTTTACAAGGATGAGTAAACAGAGAAGCTGCTTGTACCTACATACTTAAGTAGAACTTATCCTCGAGATCCAAGGTTTTTAACATACAAGCAATTATATACTAAAAATATTCAGAAATAATTGTCTACTTCTGAACATGTACTGACTTTCTGCTTGTCATTATTCCGGCAACACAATAACTATTTATATAGTACTGATTGGTGTGGGAGAATTGTCTGTATTCTGTCAATCATGTTATAAGTAAACGTTGATTGGCCAGGCAGGAAATACAGGCGGGAAAACCAGACAGGGAGGAGAAATGATGTAATGAGAACAGGAGAATTCTGGGAAGGAGGAAATTGATTCCTTCCACTCCTGCCTAGACCACCGAAGCAGCAGGATGTAATCTGCCCCACTGTAAAAAGGTATTGAGCCACATGGCTAACATAGATCAGAAAAATGGGTTAATCAAGATGTGAGAGTAAGCCAGTAAGAGGTTACAGCTAATGGGCCAATCAGCTTATAATTTATGGAGACCTATGTGTGATTTTCTTTGGGGCTAAACAGTTGTGGGGTACTGGGCAAGACAAAAACCCCAACAAACAAGCAGACTGGCCCTCCATGTTACAACTGATACTCTATCAGACATTACAAGTAATCTAGAGGAATTCTGAAGCACACAGGAGGATGTGTGTAGTCCATATGCCACTATCACATGACATGATTTTATAAAAGGATCTGAGGCATCTCCATATTTTGTCATCATGAGTGGAAGAAAGTGATCTCAGAAAGAATCCTTTGTATACTGAGAGCAAATGTCTATTTTTAATACATGGATTATATTCTTTTGTTCTCCTCCATCAAAATATGACAAAGGTAAACTCTACCAAGCCTCTAGATATAATTACCAATAGGTAGAAAATACAAAGGACAGAAGAACATGCATCTATGGACTGAAAAGTCCAGAGTGTAGGAAAACACTACGAGACCAATAACCTACTCTCCTGAATAAATCAGTTGTAAAGAAAATATGAATAAGAAAACCAAAAGATTAAAAAATAAGAAGGAAAACTGAGCTAGGAAAATAGCTCAGTTGGTAAAGTGTTTGACATGCAAACAGGAGAACCAGAGTTCCAACCCTCAGCACTCAATTAAACATTAAGGCAGATGGTGTGATTCACCTGTAATCCCAACAGCCAGAAGGTGGAGACAAGGAATCCACAGAGCAAGCTGGCTAGCTAGATTAGGCAAACTGGTAAACTCTGGTTTCAAGTGAGAAATCCTGCCTCCATACATAAGGTGGAAAGCAATCAAAGAAAATACCAGATGTCAATTCTCTGGCCTCCACATGCACATGACATACATACCTGCACACTGGAAGATATACGTGGCCACACACTTGTGAATACCCATACATAAACACACACACCTAAGACATGCATCAACCAAATGCAACTTTTAAATACCAAAATGATATAGATTCAAATTTAGATGACTTAAAATTACATTCATGACCTCTTTTAAGTAAAGCATTGTAAGTTACAAGACAATCTATACAAGAAAATTTTGGAAAAGGAAAAAATGTGTAAAATACTTTCCATCAAGTATTGAGCAAGTAGACCATTATAAGACAACAAAAACAACAAAGGGAGCTAGGATGAAGATGAAGAGAAGGAAGAAGAGGAGGGAAGGAAGAAAATTAGTGGTGAGAAGGAAAAAAGAACAAAAAGAACAAATCTAAGAGAAAAAGGAGGTAAGGGAAGGTACAGACATAGCACCTAGGGTTTGGAAGACCTAGGCATATCCATCCTGCCCTCGGTTAATAAAACGGCAGAAGCTATTGCAAAAGTAGTACAGATAAACTGACTGTGAAGGAGAGTATACACAACATCAGCTGTGTAGAGAACCTGACCTTCTCTTCCAAGGGCATGACAAGGATCCCTCCAACTTTAAGAAGATTCTTCATGGGGGCTGGAGAGATGGTTCAGAGGTTAAGAGCATTGCCTGCTCTTCCAAAGGTCCTGAGTTCAATTCCCAGCAACCACATGGTGGCTCACAACCATCTGTAACGAGGTCTAGTGCCCTCTTCTGGCCTGCAAGCATACACACAGACAGAATATTGTATACATAATAAATAAATAAATATTTTTAAAAAAAAGAAGATTCTTCATGTACTCTTCGTGTTCTTTCTGCACACCTGCTCCACAACACACACGATCATACTGACAACAATCTGGAGCAATCTCTAGGCAATTGCCAGTTACAAACAAAGGTTCACAGAAGTCAAATCTGCGAAGAAAGAAGTTTTCTGTAACTATATGTGTCATTGCAACAAGTGCATAAAACAAACTTGTGCTTACCATAGGTTATGTTTTAATTATAAAATCACAGACAAGGAAACACTTTCTGGATCCAGGAGCTAGAAGCTGTATTACTATATAAATAGATCCTTAGAAATTACAAACAAAATAAAATGAAAGTGAATGTTCCAACATGATCTAAATATAAAGCAACAGCAGCCATCAGTTTTCACTGTTTTTACAATGTGCAACACCACATTCAGTTGCATGACAAGCAGATTTTGATTATTTCAGTGTGTGTGTGTGCATGCATGTACCGCATGCATGCATGAAAACTTCAGAGGACAACTTGTAGAAGTCAGTTCTCCTTTCACCAGGTGGTTCCCAGAGATCAAATTCAAATCATCACTCTGGGCAGCAAGTTCCTTTACCTACCCTGAGCCATTCTGCCAATCCCAACAGGAAGTTTTAAAGAGCACTTTCTCTTTTTGGACAGGCACTCTCTACTGTCTAGCCTAGAAACTGACATGTAGACCAACTTGCTCAAACTCACAAAGATCTGCTTGCCTCTGTCCACAACTACCAGCAAAAAAAAAAAAGCACTTTTTATTCTCTGAAACTCCCATTCTTTAAGAAGTTTAGTGCATGTTTTAAACACCAAGAGCTACTTACATAAACTGTTCAAAGACAAACGTAACTATTCTATTGTAGAAACCATTAGGTGATAAAAGTTTTCTATACTGGAATATGAAAACTGAATAAAGTTTTTGTTCTCTTCTCTTACTATACTGATGAAAAGTTAATGTAAGTGTCATAAGTTATAAAACACAAAGCTGGCTGGAAAATGGTGGCCCACACCTTTAATTCCAGCACTTGGGAGGCAGAGGCAGGAGGATTTCTGTAAATCCGAAGCCAGCCTGGTCTGATTTCCAGTGTAGTCAGAGCTGTAAAACAGAAAATCCATGTCTCAAAAAATAAAAAAACAAACAAACAAAAAGCTGCCCAGGTGTGGTGGTGCATGCCTTTAATCCCAGAACTCAAGAGACAGAGGCAGGTGGGTTTATATAAATTTAAGGCCAGCCTGGTCTACATAGTGAGTTCCAAGATAGCCAGGGCTATGTGAGGGTACTTTTTCTCAAAAAACAAAGAAATAAAATAAAATAAAAACCATAAAGCCCTTAAGACTAGAGAATATTAAAATAGTACAGTAACTAGGGTAGATACACATATAACCGGGGATCATCTCATCATACTTTGTTTATTGATCAATGCATATTAAACAGGCTTTTTCTATCTATCATTAATGCCCTTAGTTGAACCAATGGGTTGCATCTGACCATACTTGTCAAAACTATCACTTGTTCTGATGAAGACATTCAGTTTCTGCTTGGCATACTCAGTCACATCTGAATGAAGCTCCACCCCATGGTTCACACCAAAAGGACCTGAAAATATTGAGAATAACAAAGCTCTTAGAATAGGAAAAGAACCCTTGTTCATTTGTTTTTCTGTACTTTACTAATTACAACACAGATAATTATGTAATGTATAATTACAGAAATTCATGAGGTTTTAAGGTCTCAGCACATTTGTGGCTCTAAATCACTCAGGGAGTCTTTCTATTCATTAACACAGTATTTGTTTTGATGCCTGGACTTTTCAAACATCAAAAGAACAATTTTTTAAAAATTGCAAATTGAAAAAAAAGCAAGAGAAAAAGAAATTTTTCTGAAAAATTTAAGAAAAAATCTATATTTACAAATAAAACTTATATTAGGCTTTCTCTATATCTCACAGCACCTTCATTATCACTACTGGCGGTATCGAGTGGCAGTGTCTCCAGACTTACTCTCTTCACAGGCATTACGGCTCACTCTGTGTGTGTGTGCGTGTGTGTGTGTGTGTGTGTGCACGCACACACATACGAGTATCCATAGCACAGAGATCAACATTAGGTATCTCCACTCCCAAAGTTACTGTTTGAGACAGATTCCCACTCAGCTTAACTGGCTGGCCAAGAAGCCCCTAGAGCCTATCTCTGTTTTGCAGCACTGAGATTACAGGCACACACTGTTGCACTTGGCTTTTTATGTGTTCTGGGGATTTAAACTCAAGTGTTCATGGTTGTACAGCATCTCCTAAGTTCCCAGGATCTTTTCATTAGCATTTCTAATCTAGGTGGCTTTATTATCTATTCCCCCCAACAAAAACCACTACCTTAGTCAAGGTAAAACTTTTCAGGTAAAATCAAGCAAGTCAGAGGAATGATAAATAATCTGGGCCTGTGTACTTTTCTTAAAGCATGGAAACCACGTCTCAATCAAAGACAAATTAAGATTAAAAATCATTTCAATTGAGAAGAAAAACAAGCAACATCTAAAATCTTTGCCCCAATATACATTTTACACAAGGCAGGAATTCAATAGCTCTTTGGTTGGTAATCCTGATAATAATATCAGAAATGGCCATATTCATACATACATTCTACAACTTGTAGAGAATACAGCCTAAATGACTCCAAACATGATAACCTAAGAAATCCCTTCCATCTCTGAAAATGCCTTAAAAATACATAAACTTATTACTCCTTTAGTAGCAAACAACAAAACAGAAACAGCTACAATGAACTTCAACTACCAAAGGATTTTAATGACAGTGGAAAAAAGAGCAAAAGAATGATTAAATTAAATTAAGAAATCACATAAAGTCAAGATTTATACACTTTTGCTGTTTTCCATCATTCATAGCAGAATGCAGCAGCACAGGTAAGAGGAGACAAAGAAATGGAAACCCCCCACTTACAACTCATCAATCATCCACCACCTGTAGCTAAGCTTCAGGCAACTGATAGGAGGTTCATGGTCTTCACCAGGGGATGCAACCAACCCACTACATTTTCTATCTCAAACGATAGACATTGTTCTAACGCAGAGAGGACTCAAGCTCCGTATCCACACTCACCTAGAATGAGGCCCACCATGGAGCTGAGGTAGCCAGTACCACTGCCCAAATTGAGAAATGAGAGCCCAGGCTGAAGATCCAGAGCCTCCATCACCTCTGAGTAGATGCAAGGGGCTGAGAGATGAATGTTTCCATGCTTCCATGCCAAGTCTTTGTACGCATTTTCTTTAAATTCTTCAAGGTAATAATCTGCTCGATCGATAGCTCGGAAAGCCTGCTCTACTAAGTCCGTCCGGATGTACTGGGCTTCCTTCAGATTGTCCATGAGTGAAGGCGTAAGTCACAAACAATGCCACACCAATTCGGGGTTATGATTATTAGGGTGGTATTTATTTAAAGGGGAAAAAACTTACAGATCACTGTCCCAGGCAACAGCCCTCTTCGCAACCAGGAAAGGAGTCTAGTCGCAGGCGGAGCAGGAAGTGAAGAGAGAGAGAAGAGGGAAGTGGCCGCTTTTTTAAAGGGAGAGAAACCACGCCCCAGTGGGCTGGTACCTCAGCGGTGATAGGCTGGAGGAGTGGGAGGACCTCCCGCAACACATGAGCTCATCGTTGTCCTCACCAGCACTCACAGCACCGCCCATGTTCAAGATTACAATCAAGCAAGACTACAATTAAAACATTAATAACTATTTACATTAAAGTCAAGAGCAAAACAATAAAACCTCTAAACACATGTTATTTTCACGAATATAATAATAAATAAGAATGTAATAAAGACAGAAGTATCTTTTGTCAATAACTGCTTCACCCTCCAAGGATGCTGGTATTGGGAGCAGGGATTACAGGGCCAAAGGAATGGTTCAGTGGGTAAAGTACTTGACACAGAACCAATAACATTATTGCATTCCCCAGAACCTACATAAAGATGAGAGGAAAGAATCCAACACCACTGGGTTGTCCTCTGATCTCCTCATCCACACAATGGCATGTGTGAGCCCACACACACCATAATTTTTTTAATTAGGAAAAAAAAATCCTAGTACCACTAGAAAGTTAAGTCAACAGCAAATAAGCCATTTGATGTTTGACTGACTCAATTTTTTTTAAAAAAATTACATTTATTATTTGGAGGATATGTATAGTAGTCTATTGCACCACAAAACACAAGTGGAGGTCAGAGAACAATTTGCAGGAGTGATCTCTAGGGATCCTACGGTACCTTTACCCTTTGAGCCATCCTGAAATTCAAATTTAATGGTATCCCAATGTTAACTAGGGCATTACATCTCAACGTACACACAAACTCATCCACAACAAGCAATCCATCCAACCTGACTTGGTTACTCTGATGTTTAAACTGTAGGTAAAAATATCCACAAAACTTTCTTCCCAAATAGAACACACTGTGACAAATACCTAATTGTAACAAACATAAAATCAGTTTCAAGGCTAACGTTTAGCAGAGAAGTTGTCCCTGCCAGCACTGTGTGTCCTACATCCCTAACACAACTTCCCCTTGCCTCTAAGAAATATACCTCTTATCTTTTCCCACAGTGTCTTGCTGAAGAAAGCATTCCTTTTAGGTCCAATTACTAATATACAATATGCCCTGGTAAGTACACAGAGAATATTTTTTACCCTGAAGAAGTCTTTTTCTTCATAGAAAAATAATATCCTCCCCAGTTTTATACTGACCTTGGGTGACTTTTCCAAACTAATGACTTTATTTCTTACAAGGTGGTGATGCTGGTATAAACTGCTGAAGACTATGGAGTCACAGGAAGATCTGTAGACTTTCTGAATCAAAACAGCCTCCTGTTCAGGAGTTCAAGGTCATCTTTAGTGAGTTCCAGGCCAGCATGGACTACATAAGAACCTGTCTCAGACCAGGTGGTGGCACATGCCTTTAGTCACATCACTCAAGAGGCAGAGACAGGAGGAGCTCTGTGAGTTTGAGGCCAGTCTAGTCTACAGAGTGAGTTCCAGGACAACCAAGGCTACACAGAGAAGCCCTGTCTAGAAAAATAAAAAGGAAAATAAAAAAAAGAAGAACCTCAATAACGACAAAACTACCATGGTTCCCCTCCCCTCTCAGTCTTCTTTCTGGAACACTAGAGACAACCACTATACACATCCATGTGCACAAATGGTAACAGCGCTGCCTGGAAAACTAAGCCTAGAAATGAAGATACCACTCTGACATCTTAAGACAGGTGAAAAACTATGTCTTGATACATATTTGTTTCTATTTTATGACAAAATAGTCCATCTTCATAATCAAGACAAATAATATTTTTCAACTCATGATTCAACTATTGAAATTTCATCTACTTCTAAAGTAGATTCGGAGCTCTTTCCCCCAGCTGTAACTAGTCCTTAATGCTAATACGGCTGGGCTTAATCTTGGATAAGTCACTTAGTCCTACTGCTACACTATCAATCTAACAGGGTCACCTTAAAATTGGGACACTAGTTGAAAATAGAGTAACGTATTTATATGCTTACAAGCCAATCTAGGAAAGAACCTTTAAAAACCACATAGCTACTGAATCAAGAAAGTCATCCTCTTCACCCTGAATATGTCACTCTGCCACAGTTCCAATATTTAACAGTTTCTAGCAGCTACCACAAACCATGTTAGATATGTTTCATTTAGTACTAGATGTTTATCTTACTGAACTTTTCCTCACATGAAAGCTTATTCCATATTAAAATAACAGAATTTCGCCAGGCGGTGGTGGTGCATGCCTTTAATCCCAGCACTTGGGAGGCAGAAACCAGTCTGGTCTACAGAGTGAATTTTAGGACAGACTCCAAAGTTACAGAGAAACTGTCTCAAAAAAACAAAAAACAAACAAACAAAATAAACAAACAATTTCAGTAAGAATAGCAGCCATCTTTCTAACAGTTACCACCATCCAGTCAGCACTACACTAAACATCTAAAGGTGGAATAAGCTAGCTGGTCTTAGTTACTGATGCTCAGTCACAGACTGCAAGAGGAGTGTGGTGAAACCCAGCACTGTTTAGCCAAAGGCTTTTGTTTTGTGCACATCAAGGGTACAGATGTTAAAGACTCACAAGAGAACAACATTCTTTGTTAATTTTTTGTTAATATTTTCATAATCAAGTATAATGTGCATTTTCCTGGTAAACTGTTCTGTGCTGTTTAAACTTGTTCAAAATGGATGATGAAAGCAAGGCCTCTCTTGTACCAACTCTAGCATATTTGTTTCCAGTGGTCTCCAAATGTTCTCCAAAATACCTTTTTCTAGGGCTGGATGGGCACCTAATTCTATGAATGGAGGAAAGAAAGAGCAAAACAGCCCAGGAATAAAATACTGTGTCCTTGATAATGACTAAAACGCTAACCATTTCCAAGACTATCGTTTATCAGATGGTATAAAAACGCCTCAGTAGGAACAGGAAGCCAGAAATTCAGCCATGGAAACCTCACCCATGGAGCGAAAGTTGGCTTGAGAATCCAGATGACCGCTTCAACTTCTCCAGTCATCTGCTTCTTGCTATTCTTTAAAAAACAATAAACAAACAAAAATAACAACAACTGGAAAGCCTCACCTGGGTCTCTCAATCAAGAATTCCAAATGGCTGCTTCAATTAGGACTTTTCCAGATGATTTCTGTCATTATCTTTTGTTTGTTCCCTCAATGGCTACTCAAGTCATCTCTATTAAATGTGAGTACTAAATCTGATGATGTTTTGCTATTTATCTTCTATTGCTATCACTACTCACTACTTGTCATATCACATACAGGATATGACAGTCCTGTTTTATCCATTGATGCATGCTCTGTATCTCTGTCAGTGGTTGAAGTATGGGCATTTCTTTGCCCAAAGGCCAGTTCTGCCAAATAGAAAGGCTCCAGATGGAGTGTCTTTGGTGCTCAATATTCTCTCAGGAATAGAGCAGTGTTGCCAGGAGCAATTGTGTCTCACTATCATGAAACTCTGAGTTAGATTAAAGGCCATTTTCTACAGCTCTTTGAAGAGTCGAAGATTATCTACTATACTGAGTATAATCTCTATATATCTAGAGAACCTGATTAGTCTAATTATAAATGACAAACTTAGATGACTATTTATCTATATAATTCTCAATATCTATCTAACTTAAAGACTAAGACAATAAACAACTGTGTAACAAATGAGGATAATGACCTCCAAATATAAACACTTTACAAATAAACATTGCAATATGGCAAATATATATTAATACACAAACATTATATAAGTATCTTAATCAGAGGTAGAAATGTAAACTGCAATATGGTAAATATATACTATATATATATATCAATACAATATATGTCAATACATAAAAATGTTTTAAACAGACATAGAAACATGCATGCATACAATAGTCAATATAATTTAACTTTGTATCAATATAGAAGAAGCAATACCAATATATTTGTCTAAAAGCAGTAACTCACAATTATAAATCTATTATCCCATCATCCCTCTTTTTTTTTTCAAAATGATCCCTGAACTTATAAAATTCCTCCCCCAACCTCCCAACCCCTAAATGATGTCCCTAAACCCAGGGGTAAACTTTACTGGGAGAGGGGATGTCATCCTCTAGAATTACTTCCAGCTGTCATAGGGGCGATGTTCTTTCTGGGAGATCCTGTGAAAGTAAAATGATGGTTAAATTTCAAGATCAATGTCTTTTAAAATTGAAAATAGTCTCTGAGTATTTTGTGGAGGTCTGGCCAGAATGTTGTACAAAATATGCACCATTTCAGCTGACCAAGTTGGGATCGTCTTGTGCAGCTGGTATCCAAAACAGGTCTTGTAGTACAGCTATCAGTATCATAACGTCCTATCAACCAGGTAGAGTTGTTGTTGTGGGGCCCCATCTTCTTCCTGGAAACTTCAAATGTCACTTCAGGAAAAATTCATTGTTCATTGTGAAAAACTTAAACATTAATCATATAGACATGCATATATATATTCAATGAAAGGCATGATAGATATATTCAATGAAAAGTATGATAGATATGAAGAAAAGCAAAGATGTTTTCTAAACTCATATTTCTTTCTGTCCCATATCATGGCTCTTGACATGAGAGAGAAACTCCAGAAACTCTGGGTTTTTCTCTTACTAACAGGCTTGGAATTGGAGAGGGACTGAGCCAGAGTCCAACTTCAAAACCAGCTCTATATATTTATAAAGAAATGTTTAATAAGACATATATAAAAATTAATACTTACAAAATGTGTCCATACATCAGTAATTAAATATTCAGGGTCCCTCAATTTCTTTGAAGATGAGTATTTTCCTGTGGAGATAAGAAAAGAACCCTGCCTCCAACCTATCTGTATTTCTTACCATCAGTATGTTCGCCATCCTTATGAAAGAATTGTTATTTATCTTTTCCAAGTGGCTTCTCTTCTTCAAACCGAACCTTTATTAATTTTGATGGTATCCAAAATTGAATAACCTTGTTGATGGCCCTGAGATCTGTCACCATTCTCCATTTACCTGGTTTTTTCTTAACCACAAATACAGGAGAATTCCAAGGGCTGGTAGATTCTTCTATATGTCCAGCATCTAATTGTTCTTGTACCAGCTGTTCTAAAGCCTGTAACTTTTCCTCAGCTAAAGACCATTGCTTTGT